TGTGTGTGTGTGTGTGTGTGTGTGTGTGTGTGTGTGTGTGTGTGTGTGTGTGTTTATGATGCCATGGTAGTATTTATGTTCCTAACAAAGTTTCACGATTGTGGAGGGAAAAAACCAACAAGAACTTTGCATGTTGAAATCACGTAGTTTCAACATTGAAACKTGTCAAATTTGCCCGTGAACAAGTTCATGTGGTGGCAAAGTTTACCACATGATTTAATGCAAAAAACATGATCAGTTCATGTGGTTTTTCAGTAGAAGKCTAGCATTTTTAATTAAACACCAATTTTAACTTGAAATGGGACATCTACACATTAAAATACTTTGTGTACTATTAATCTGATTGACAACACAGATTTATTTTTTAGCATAACTACTAAATTACATTTTGTTTTTGCCTGCATTTGTAAACTGAGAGAAAATCAATTCTAAAAATGGTCAATTTTTCAGTAGAAGCTCGCATCATGTTTTGCAAAGAAACAAAAGAAAAAAAAACTATTATCATTCCATCTGAAAGAGACATCAGAGTAAAACAGATTTGCTAGGAGTTGAAGCAACAAAATTTTGATAAGTTTAACTTGTTTGCTCATCAGAAACTTTGTGCAAACAGGAAGATACAAAGATAGCATCTGAAGSCATTGCAAATATTTTACACAGCACATATTATAGCTGTGTTTGATAAATGTTCAGTTTGACATCTGACAAATAAACTTATGATAATTTTTCCTATTTTATGGAGTTAYATTTATAGTAATCATCTTGCAAACTGGAACCTACAACATAGTCTGTTGTTTTACTTAATTTGTGATATGAAGAAGTGCTTTTTTATTATTATTATTAACAAACTTTAAACTGCTTAGTCTGAAGAGATTTGATCCATTAAATGTGAATTTCTGTGGTAAATGTAAACCACTTAACACAGCACTGAAAGAAAACAAAACAGCATGGACTAATGAGTTTTCTTATTATTAATTTTATTATTTTTCTCTTTGACAWTCAAAAACATGTGACTGTATCACAAGCAAACATGTCCACCAACTCATTAAGTGCTCTGTTTCTTTTAATGGATCCGTCTCCAGTGGTTCATAATCATCTCTTAGTTTTTATTGGTGTAACCCCACTGGGACTACATCAAAGAATGAAATGTTGCAATCWATGTTAAAGATTCACATCCGTTTTTTCAGGTGCACAGGTGCTGGTGGGGCAYGGGGTGGGCTCCATCTGCCTGCACAACACGCAGCGACGGAGTATTTGGACCAATGTGAGGCGGAAACGCTTTATCCTGAACGCGTAAACCATCGGGTTGATGGCTGAGTTCACATGTGACATGAAAATTCCTGTATTTAAAGCAAGTTTTGGGATTTTACACTCTGCRCAGAACAAATTAATGCAGTTGATGATGTGTATTGGCAACCAGCACAGAATGAAAAGAAAGAGCACCAAGGCCAGGGACTTGGCCAGCTTCAGTTCCTTACGGAAATACCTTTCTCCGTCACAAGTGGCCTCGGCACGGCGATTAAGCTGCTTTCGGATCAGTCGGAAGATCTCCCCATACAGAATGATCATTATAATCAGCGGGACCACCACCCAGCCAAAGAAGTTAAAGTACACCATGTAGTCCAGCCGAATCACATTCGTGAACACGCAGACTATCTCACTGGAGCCGGTTAGATTTCCACTGTTGAGGTTATTCCAGCCGATCATTGGAAGCAATCCACTGAGGAAGGAGAGTATCCAACACAGACAGACCACCACGCATGCCCTCCCCGGGGTCATTATGATGCTGTACCTGCATGGGGCAACGTAATAGAATAAATACACCTTAGTTCTTTTTTTCCAATCATCTAAATGCACACACAGTCAGCGGTAATGACACTTCTTTGACRCGGTGCCAAAGTTGATATTTTTTTCTCAGAAGCATTTTCTAAAGTGCTAACATTTGACATGAGGACTGATAAACAAACATTACTGTAYGCACCTGCCAAATCTCAAGGCAAAAATGCCCCTTTGTCAGTAAKTTTTGCTTGGAGAAAGGCATTTTAATTAGCCTAAAAGGTTTTGGTGTCTAGCATCCTGATTTGCATGAAAGTAGAGAATAAATAGTGCTGATTCATAYAGACATTCTTCCTTTTACTGACTCTTTGCGGCATGACAAACCTTTCTGCAAAAGAACAAACAAATGCAATTGCTTAAACTACAGAAAATCCTTTGCTTTTACATAATTATGAAAGCATATTTCTATGATAGAAAAAAATTGTCAGTAAATTCTTTCAGATTATTTGTAATGCTAATGAAACACTTTCTTGACCCCACTGATCTTTACCTTTTTATTAAGTTTTGTTTAGTTTTTAAAGTTTACTTTACAAGTAATTTTTTATATAGAAAAGGTAAATATTTTTTCATTGAAAGTGTAGCTTTCTGGTAGTGAAAGAGCCACTCACTTTGTGGGAATCTTGATGCGCAGGAATCGGTCGATGGCTATTGCCAGCAGGGACAGGATGGAGCTCTGGGTGATGCTCAGCAGCAGGCAGGAGAGGATGAGGCAGGTGAAGAACTGAGTCCTGAATTCCATATTGATGACGATGGCCGCGGGGATGACCAAAGCTCCCACGGCGATGTCCGCCACAGCCAGGGACACGATGAAGATGAAGGTGGTGTTGCGTAGAGCCCGGTTCACGTACACCACCAGCACAACCAGAACATTCCCCAAAACAGAGGCCACTGCAATGAACGTCTCAATGGAGATGTAGATYAGGTCCCCATGTTTCTGTGGCGTGACACCAGGAGATGTCATTTTTTTTATCCCTCACAGATCCAACTTTTCTGAGATTGAGCAAAACAAGCTGGTTAACCTTCTCGCCRCTTTGCCTTCTCCTTCTGCAAAAGCATCTTCCATTAAACAAACAGCTYAGCTGAGAGGCGTGTGCTTCTCTTTTCTGTCCACGTTTGAGTTAGAGCCCATGAAGGCTCGCTGAATGATCAATCCACTGCAACAAATAAGCTCTGAGGASGACTGAGTACCAGTGCATCATCACTCTTCTTTACTGTCTCCCTCCCTCCGCTTCACTCACAAGTCTGTATAAAAAGAGTCACAACTTCAAGGGGAGGGACTCTTGTTTTCTGCAGCACTCTGCAGYACTTCTGCAAGCACTGACAGTGTTGGTGGGTGAGCATCTGTGTGCACTTTTTCATCATTTCAGCGGAAATGTGCTCTCTAAGAACTAGAAGAGTGCSTGTGGTAGTGAAGATCCGTTAGAAATAATTTGATCTTACAATAAAGATAACCATCTAAATGAGTAAGTGTAAAAACAAACAAACAAACAAACAGAAAGCCTGGCAACATCAGTCACATCCAAACACTTTATCTAACAACCCATCAACGAATGAAAAAGACTTTGGCAGCAAGTCTCACTGACCAAGCAATYACTGCTCTGGTCTTTAGTTGCTTGAAGGAAGCAGATCGATCGTTTCCTTGTAAATCTCTTTTGTTAGATCACTTAATTTTGAAGGAAATAAAATGTCAACAATGACTTTACGACACTGACTGTGAGCCAAGGTTTGCGTTAAAGCTTTCATAAACAGACACTTATTTTGCTTCYATCACTGCATAGATGCACTTAAAGGTTTTATCACCGCGCACAGTTTCAACTCACTCTTTTTTATCTGTCAGCATGTCTGTTCTGTCAGCTATTAGCCTACAAACAACTATTAAAATAACATTTTAAAATAACTTCAACATCTCAACAGCTCAAATTGTTAATATTTTTACAGATACTGAGATGAATCATTTACAGCACATCTGAGCGTGCATTTCGCAAGTGATTGTGGTTAATTCTGTTTACAAGTTTTGATGAAAATGGCTACAGCTCTGTCATTTCTCAACAAAGATGGTTTTAGTCTGGCATGAAAAGTGGCAAATAGTTCTTGTGCATGACCAGAACAGGTTACTGTGCTTAAAAATGAGAAAAGAAGACAAATGGAAGACAAAAAAAAAAAAGCCTTCAGAAAGTTAGAAGCGATCCAGCCTTTTAAACATACACAAATACACTCAAAAACTGGCTTTATTATCTATCTAGCGAGGTCTGGGTCTACCTTGGGGTCTCATCTGGGAGGTTTCAGATAAACCTCCAGAAGCCTCTTTTAGATTCCTCATTTGACTCCTTTCCATGAAGAGGAACAGCAGCTCTAACCTCCTCGCAGATGACAGAGCATTTCATTTTCTCTAAAACTACAACTGGCCRCCTCACGAAGGAAACTTTGACTGCAGGTCTAAATGAGAAACAGGTGTGCTATGAACAGATATTGATCACTGGTGGTATATAATAAATAAATAATAAATCAGGAATATGCTGAAACTCAGCAACAAATGACGGGATTTAATAAAAAAATAGAAAACATAATGAATATAAAGAGATTAAACAAGAAAAACTACACGACGAGCAAATGAAGAACCCCGACTCTGGCACTTTGATTTTCAGCTCTGCTCCTTCTTCACCACAAACAAACCTGGGAAAACGTTTTCATTATTGTAAACCAGGCTGGCTCCTTGGAAGAAATGAGGAAMAATTTCAAACTGCACTGTACAAAATTTAAAACAACACAAAAAATCAACATAATATGCAAAACATTGTAATTTAGCACTTTTTTTGTTTATTTCCTTATTTATTTTTGCTTTCTTGCATATTGCTCATTTTTTAATTCCCCACAGTCAACCAAGCAGTTTATCTTTCATGTCAGTTTGATGTAAATTATTAATGTTTGATGAAATAAAATCACTTTCTTTAGTTTCATGAATTATTAAATCTCAATTTCCGGTTTGGCGTTCGTGTCAAAAGCCACCATGTAAACAAACAAAACAAAACAAATTAATTGACTAGTTAGTTTAGTTTTGTATTATGCAAATAGTTAGCTTGTTTAACTGACAAAGTATCTGAGGAGAGGTCCTTTAACATACTACAATTTTTTAAAATAAAATCCTTTATAAAAACTAATGCAGAAATGTCTTTATCCATGAGAAAATCAYTACAAGCAATAATCAGAATACTACTGTGATAATTTATTATTCATCCCTGTTTGGTTGCACAACATCATTATCTGTAAACAGTAGTAATAAATTTCATTATGGACTTGCAGAGATCCGCTTGTGCCTGAGCTAGTGGAACTACATGACAACGAAAGCTCTATTACCGGTTTCAATTAACAATATTATAATCAACGTCCCGACAAAGCATCTGAGTTTATTGTTGAGTTTATTTCACTCTGACATAATGATGGTGTTGTTGGTCTCTGTTTGTCTATACTAATCTGTGAACTTCATCACTTCTCTCAGGATATATAAGGGCTGAAATGAATACAATGAAGGTAGAGCAATCAAAAATTAACGGTCCAGTGAAGACTTGTGGAATGTGAGCATCAGTAAGCAGTCACTCTGAAAATTACATTTAAGGATATTTATTAGAAAAAAAAACAAAACAATGAGGCAACCCCAATGTCACTTTCATGATAGATCAAATACTTTCAACTAGTGAGAGGTCCGGAGGTCCGGACTGCAGACAGGAAAGTTCAGCACCTGGACTCTTCTACTTTCAAGTCCTGCTGTTGTAATGGATGCAGAATGCAGTTTAGCATKGTCTTGCTGAAATATGCAAGACATTGTCTGGACAGGACAATACGTTGTTCAAAAACATGTCAAAAGTTTTCTGCATCGATGGAATCTTTCCATATGTGTGAGCTGCTCATGTCATAAGCACCAATGCACCCACATACCATCAGTGAGGCTAGGTTTTTAGCTATGTGGTAACAAAAGGCTAGATTAGCACTCTTTACATTAAAATAAACTTTTAGTTTTAATGCAGTGGCCCCTGAGGGTCCAAAAATAGTGAATATCAAATACTTACTTTCAGCTTTGTCCTTTGCACCAAAAAAAATCGAGTGTGTAACTCGTCCACTGCTAAACCTCCCATTGTGTTGTCTACTTGCCACTGAAAATTTCAAATTGTTTAATTTCCACTTCACCAAATTTCCTCCATCACTCGGTGCAATGATTTCAATCATGCATAATATTCAGCTTTCTGCCAATATTAGTTCTTGGAAATGAAAATCAGATTAAATACACAATAAAAACTGCAGTGACTGCAGTCTATGGAGGACTGAAACAATTAGTAAAAAAAGCAGAAATATATGAATGGACCAATAAATAAATAAATACTCTTACTGTGCATGCCTGCATATAAATATATACAGGTATATATACAC